TTCACTGACTTCCACAATGTTTTCTCTTCATTTCTTTGAGTTCCTGAAAGCCAACAAGTTGCACTTTGGAATGACCTTATTATTGTATCATGTTTGTTTTACAGAATGAAATGTCTGAATGGGTGCTCAGCCAAGACTGGTGATTCCATACTTTTTGTCAGGGATTGGACAYCACGCTGCTCTGGTGTGTCTCCATACATTAATATGTCATCCATAAACATTTCTACCCCTTCAAGGTCGTTCAGAGTCTCAGTCATTTTGCGTTGGAGAATTTCCGGGGCACTTGTTATTCCAAWTGGGAGTCTTTTGAAAGCATATCTCCCAAAGGGTGTTATGAAGGTGGTTAACTTTCTGTTTTCAGAGTGGAGTGGAATTTGCCAAAACCCAGATGCTGCATGATGAAAAAGTTGTTGCTCCCCTTAGTTTAGCTGTGATTTCCTCTGTAGTTGGAAGAACATATCTCTCTCTTTTTACCACTTCATTTGGCTTCTTCAAATCCACACAGATGTGAACTCTCCCATCCTTCCTGGGAACTGGCATTATCGGCGCACACCAGTCCATAGGCTCAGTCACAGGTTCTACGATGTCGTTCTCCTCCATTCGCTTTAGTTCCTTCTTATTTATGTCATAAATAAGAGAACCGACCTGGACTTCACCATCCTCTTTGTCGAGTTTTTGTCGCCAGTCGAAAACGCTGAAAATGTTGTTTTGGTCGGCCCATTCATTAGGTCGATCAAAGCTGAAACTGTCCGGGGGGTTAAATTTGGCCATCCTTGTGATGCAATGAGTTCGTCACCATGKAAATGTTACGGGTCCGGTCTAGGGTCTTACCCACAGCAGAAGAATTTTTCCTGAATAAACAGGAGAAATGATGAGACGAGAGACAGTGGAGTTCGACCGATGCAGCCTCGCTTCATACTGTGTTTAATAACAAAGTTTTATTCAAAAATACATTWCCTTTCACACTTTTTAGTCTGTATTTTAAACCAAAAACCAAAAGTCATGCTCAATAACTTTTCACTGTTTGCATTGTCAGTACATCATCAGGTCTATTTCAGTATGTAAAGTCTTTAACTATAACACACGTTTTACTACCAGAAAATAGTGTTTCCACTTGTATGTAAATCTGTGGCTTTCCACACTGTAAGTTTATTTTGTTACTTAAGTATCAACTGGAATAATATGTCCATTTACTGCTGCTTGGTCTGCTAATCAATCCTTTTACATGTTTTTCACAACAATAAAGTAACCTTAAACATTYCAAATAAAATGTCTACATTAACACCACAAGAACAATTTTGTGTTAAAACTGTCATGCTGTTCAAATTTATAACAATGTCTGGGATTCTTTACTCTTTGAGCTTAGAATTCAAATAAGTGGAGTGCCRCCATCACACCACCTCGTGTTCATCTTGTGGCAACGAACACAGCCTRAACAATCTRCTTACTTGGTTTACCTTTAATAAAACTACCAAARCATCAGCTTTACAGCATCAGAATAATATAGTCCTGTTGTATGTGTTTTAAATATTACTGCCTGAATAAACAGGAGAAATGATGAGACGAGAGACAGTGGACTTCGACCTATAGATAGTTCTCATGTGACGTAACATTTGTTGGCGGGACCTACTCATCGCCATCTTTCAAGTGGCATAAGTC